GGGGAGCAGGGGAGGGTGGGGGAGCTCAAGGGCCAGGGTGACTGCAGAAGGCAGCACATGCCAGGCCAGGGGCAACATGGGAAGCCGATTCCACCTGGGTGGGCCAATCTCACCAGATCTATGTCAGGATAGTCTAGATAGCTTGGCATAACCTCTGACCTCTCACTTGTTTTGATAGTTTGCTCTGGCCAAAAAGGACTTGTTTGGGTGCCCTGTACATTGCACCAGATACATTTACTCACAGTTAGATTTTTATTGATCCAGAATAAGATAAGAAATGTGAGTTAACGCATAAAGCTATATATTCTTGTCATTCAGTTTCTTAGCAAATGTTACCTTTTAAAAATTTATCCAAAGTACAAAATAAAAAGGAATATGTTAACTTCTTGTTCAGTCAGAAGACCTCTATTCATGCCTCCCTGTATAGTAGGGACCATGGAAGAGCCAAAACATATAAAAGTAGTGATCCAAGATTGAAGCCTTCTAATGTAGCTAATTCTTTCCTATGGCCCTCTGGCCATTTTCATGCTCACACCCACCATCTATACTCCAAACTGGGAACAGGCATTTAGAAGAGCCTGAAAAAGCTATGCCTGAGAGAGTGGGGCACTTCAAGGGGACTTGAGAAAGGAGACAGTAGAAGAAGGATTAACTTTTTCACTAGCTCAGTCTTGTCTTTCTCAGCAATGGCCAATTTGAGCCATCCTCTCACCCTACCCTCTACTATTACCCCATTGTGAGGCATCATCAGACCAATTTGGTTTTAGTTTTATTGACTGCTTTGAATCTATTCAGAAAAGAGGTTTGAGGAAAAAGGGGCCACCATCTGTTCTAGTCTCTGAGGCCCTGGTTTTTCCTCCCCTAATTTTTTAGAAGGGCTGTCGGAAGGCTAAATGTAGCCTCAGGGAGCAGATATCTAGAGGAGTTTGGGATCAGTCATTCTAGAACAGTATAACCCATTCAGAAGAAAACACTTTAAACCTGAGCTCATGGGGAAACAGACCCCTTGGCCACCCTGAAGGCTTACAACAATTTCGATTGGTCACATCTGAAAGAGAGATCTTGTATCATTTCTTACAGATAATGCAAGCCATCATGAGAGTGTGTGAGAGTGGGGGATGGAGGGAGGGGGCAGGACAAACCCAATCCTGTAGTACTTGGGGAAAATACACATTCCCAGGTGTACTCTGAGGAAAATAGCTTTGGAGGAAGAAGAAAGGACTGCCATGAGGCCTGGAGCAACACTTCCCCTTTCTCCCCCTTCTCTTCCATTATCCAGATGCCAGAGTGTCTCTGAATTATTGGCTCTAACCCCTGGAAGGAAGCTAACCCATCCCTAAATGCTGCTGGGTGGCAGTACAGAGCTCTAAATTTAGGAAGGAGGCAGCTATACCAGTGTGTTATAGTCTGTCTCTAACACCAGGTGGCACCAAATTATAACCATAACTTCAAAGAAACCGGCAGAAAATGAACCTTGAGAGCCCTTGAGCTATTTTCCTCTCCCTTCCTGCTTCTCACATGGAATTGAATAAGAAGCCTTTCAAATATGGTGGATAATTCTCCTTCAGTGAAAACGTTTGAATCCTTAACCTAGAGCTACTTCCAGCTGAAGATTCCTGGGATTTAAATGAGGCCTTAGTCTCTGCCCTTCCTGGAAACTTATTTCTCAGTTGCAGATAAGGAAAAGGGTGATTTCCTGGAACCTTTCCAGATGCCTCTAGCCTACAGAAGAGTTGTTTTTCTTCAAGGAGGTCAGCTGAAGAGTAACAGACATGAGACCTGGGAAGCTTTGCTTAAATGCAGCTTCCTTTATGGAGGACTGAATTCTTTAACTTGGTGTGCTGGGGATGACCATGTCTACAAAAATTGTGATGTGGCCGACCAGCCTCATGGCCTCTTATAGGCAAACAGGATTGCTTCCAGCACCTGAAGCACACTCCATGAATTCCATTCCTAGGCTCCTCCACCTGGAATGCTGTCCTCTCTCAGCCATTTCTGTTGGAGCTCCATGAAGCCTTCCTTAATTTCCCTCAGTTTGAAGGGACCTTCCACTCTTCCAAATTATCACAACTTGTGCCATTTGTCCTATTTTCTAATTTATATTATAATTATTTTGTGACTGTATATCCTCTACAAAAGTGTGAGCTACCCAAGGAAAAGGACCAAACTCATTTATCTTTTTTCTTATTTATAGCTTATCTTTTTTTTTCTTTTTATACTCTATATTGGTGACACTGTGGGCACTCAATAAATAATAATATGTTACATTTGTATGGTGCTTATAGTTTACAAAGCACATTAACATCCATTTCCCCACTTAATCCTCACAAAAATCCTGTGAGGTAGGTGTTACCATCCCAGTTTTACAGATAAGCAAACATACTCAGAGAAGTTAAACAACTTGCCCAAGGTCATACAGCTTGAAAGAAGCAGAGAAGGGTATGAATGCAAGTTTTATGACCCTAAATTCAGTTCTTATAACTTTCTGTACCTGAGCTGTTGGCTGCAAATTCCTTCATGGAGACCCAAGCATGGGATTCATCATGGGAACTGAGGTCAAACTTCCCTCCTTCCCTCCCTGCTCCCTACCCTCTCACTCCCTTGTTTCCAAAGAGGATTTCAGAATACAATCTTATTTTGTTTAAGAATGTCCTAGTGTGAGATGTCCTTGTAGATAAGAAGGGAAAATGTGGGGTGTAGACAGGACAGCTGGTGACTAATGGATCTTTGTCAGCCTGGAGGGAGGTCTCTGGCCTGTCCAATAATTTAATTCACAACTTGGATCAGGACATTGAGGGAATGCTGATCAAATCTGTAAATGACATGAAGCTGGTTTCTGGAAGACCCCAAGAGACCATAGTGAACTGGGAAAATGAAATGTAAAGTTTCATTGTTGAGTTTGTCAAGACCAAATGTTTAAGTGCAAGGTAGGAGAGACATGACTTAGTAACAATTTGTATGAAAAGGTTTCAGGTCTTTGAGGTGCCTGTAAGCTTAATATTTTGATACCAACTGCCCGAAATGCTAATGCATTTGGTGCTAGGATGAAGGAGATTATAGTTGTGTTCTCTTCTCTGTTCATTAGACCACAGTGGAGGACTGTCTTTAGCCTTGAACACCACACATGAATGGGGGGCATTAGCAACCTGGAGCACGCACAGAAGAGTGAGACCAGAAGTGTGAGAGGACTTAAAAATCCTTGTATATGAGCTACTGAGGCTGTTTAATGTGGAGAATGGATCAACATGGTGATGCTGATGGTTCAGATTCAGTTTTTAAATATAGGAAGGTTCATAATATTGTTTTGCTTTGTAAGAGGGAGCCATCAGGAGCAAAGGGCAGGTGGTATGGGAAAACATATTTTGACTCAAACTAAGGAAGAACTTTATAATGGTCCAAGATGACCAAATATTATGCAATAGTTTACTCTGAAAGGACAAGATTTTCCCATTACTGGAAGTATTTAAGCAGAGACAAGATAACTATTTGGCAAGGAGGTTGCAGAGGGAAATCAAGCATCAGATCACCAGGGAGGGAAATTAGGCAACCATCAAAGCTGCTTTTGACTATAATTTTGGGATTCAAGGAGGGCTGGAGATGAAAATAGTTGTAGCCCTCAGAATAGGTACCTCTTAAGCAGTTATTATCTCTGCTTTTGGTTTCTCCTCCTCCAGCCTACCTGCATCTAGGCTCCAGAAATATTTTCCTAAATACCTTACCATGAGACCTTCCAGCATCGTAGAATCTCAGGAACCCTAGATAGTCATCTGGTTTGGTCCTTTATCAGATGCTTTCATTGCCTTTGCATCATCCACATGGAGTGGTTGTCCAGTCACTGCTTGAATATCTCTAGTGATGGAGGGCTGCTTACCTTTATGGACAGTCCATTTTAATTTCAGAGAGTACAATTAATCATTAGAAAGGTCTTCCTAAACACAGAGAAATGCTTATATTGAGATGATGAGATTAGGAATTTTTTAAACTTTATTTTTATTGTTCACACTATTACAGATGTCCTCATGCCTCCTCCCCCTTTGCCCAATTCTGGCACTGCCCAATCTCCCTCTGGCCATCACCACACTATTGTCTGTGTCTATGAGTTATGTATATACCTTCCTTGGCTAAACATTTCACCTTCTTTTATCCAGTTCCTCCCCTTCCTCTCTGATAGTTGTTGGTCTGTTCCATGTATCCATGACTCTGTTTTTATTTTGTTTGTCAGTTTATTTTGTTTATTAGACTGGTGCAGCCACTGTGGAAAACAGTGTAGAGTTTCCTAAAAATATTAAAAATGGAACTGCTGTTTGACCCAGAGATTCCACTTCGGGAATATATCCAAAGAAATCCAAAACACCAATCAGAAAGAATATATGCACCCTTATGTTCATAGCAACATTATTTACAATAGCCAAGATCTGGAGATTATTAATTTTCTTCTTCTCTGTTTTGGAAAATGTTGATAATAAATCTTTAAAGGACTTCAAGAGGCTGGAACTGTGGGCTGAAACTTTTATTATCATTTTTTTTTCATTATAAAAAAGAAAGCAACTTCCTTATATCAAACCAAAATCTGTTTTCCTACAACTTCCATCCATGAGATCTTGGAGCTCTTGGAGATATACACAGAATAAATCTATAGCTTCCTATTCACCATGAACCCAGTAACGAATTTTTGACAGAGGACAAATTTCTCCTGGGATTTTCCAGTCCCTTCACTATTCTCTTTCTCTGGATATACTTTTGTTGACTTCTCCTTTGAAGTGTGATGCCCGCAACTGAACAGAGGGCCTCAGGCATGGTCTGACCAGTGCAGAATACCACATGATGTTCACCTCCTTTATTCTGGACATTATACTCTTATTAATGCAGCTCAAGGTCACAAGACATTCTACAGGAGCCAAACTATGCTTTAAAAAAATTTTTTTTTATTGATTTCAGAGAGGAAGGGAGAGGGAGAGAGATAGAAATATCAATGATGAGAGAGAATAATTGATCGCCTGCCTTGTCTACTGGGGATCGAGCCCACAACCTGGGCATGTGCCCTGACCAGAGTCGAACCTAGGACCCTTCAGTCCACAGGCTGACGCTCTACCCACTGAGACAAACCAGCTAGGGCCAACCTATACTTTTGACTCATGGCTCATGATAAGCTTTCATTTACTTAAAAACTCTCTAAGCCACATCTCTCACATCCTACACTGATAATATTACATTTTGTTTTGTTTTTAAATATATTTTATTGATTTTCTACAGAGAAGAAGGGAGAGGAATAGAGAGTTAGAAACATTGATGAGTGAGAAACATCGACCAGCTGCCTCCTGCACACCCTTACTGGGGATGTGCCCGCAACCAAGGTACATGCCCTTGACTGGAATCAAACCTGGGACCCTTCAGTCCGCAGGCTGATCCTCTATCCACTGAGCCAAACCGGTTAGGGCTATACTATTACATTTTGGAATTCAAATGAGTGACTTTATATTTGTTCCTGCTAACTTTCTTGTTTTTCACAGACTAATCTTTATTGGAATAAACTTCATATTTGTACATATTTGTTGAATATTTGTCTTATCTGTGAGGTTCAAGACCACATCCATCTTGCTCACTATTGTCTTTCTAGTTCTGAATACAGAATTGATAATCAGTTCTGGTGAGTTCGTTGTAACCCAGAGGTCCTGGGGTTCTCCATCTTCCAGTAATGATTGCATTGCAATTGTTGAGCTCTTCTAGTTGATCCACCGGAATTTCAGTCTTGTGCCAGGCTGCCCTCCCCAGGTATTTAACATGTAAGAGAAAAACTTACATGTTTCCCATATATGTTCTAAGGGTCTTCCTCTGGGCTCTTGCTCCTAAGTTCTCTGTGGGACATCTTTTACTGCCTTAGCCCTAAACCTTTTTACTGGATGCCTAGGAACCTGGAAATAAGAGCAGGAAAATGTATCATAGAAAGGTTATGTCCCTGTTACGTTCTATTTTGCTATAGTGAGTCCATCATACCAGCCTCTGGACATCTCTATGAATTCTGATTCTGTCATTTTGGTTTTCTCTCCCACCTATGTGTAATATTCAAATTTGATCTAGAGACATTAAAACAGAACCTTTTTGTGTGTAGTCATTCAATTGGTTAAGAATCTGCACACACCTATCTTTATCCACCTCATATTCCTGCATATTGTCCCAAGAGTATCCTAAGATAATGTTTTGTTGCACTCCAGATACACTGTAGGTGTAGCATTCTCCTCATCTACCCATCCAGTCACACTTTCAAAGGAAATGAGCTGAGTGGGGGATGATTTGTTTTTCCTGAATCCATGCAGGGGCTGAGCAATCTTCACTTCCTTTTGCAAGTGCTCACCACCCATCCTTTTACTCATTTGTCCTAGACTCTTGCCCTCAATCAATATTAAATGTATTGATCTATAGTTTATGGAATTCATCTCTTCCTATTTGTAAAACTGTGGAGCCATGTTTGCCCATCTCTAAGTTACAGTGTGCATCTTCTTCACTTTCTATGGGATTATAACAGCTACCACTAGTTGTCCTGCAACCTGAGCTGCAAGTCCTCACAATGCTCTGGGCTATTATTGATCCAGAGTATGAGATGAAATTACTCAGAGCAGCTAAAGGCTCTTTTGGAATAAACTGCCTTTAGGAGCCTCTCTTGGGTGCTCACTCTGTCATTTCTACTCTAGAAATCCTTCTCCTCAGAGAAGAGAAGGAGCAAAAGAGGAGCTGAGGAGGTTTTGTGTTCTCTCTATAAAACCATTAGCAAAAGGAAAAGTCAGGGCATCCCATCACTCATCCGATAACACCCAAACACTTCTGCTGTTATAAAGACTTCTGCAACCTGCCTTTCCAATCTGATGTCCACCTATTTAACTTGAACCCTTTACTTCAGTCAGGTCAGTTCCTCACTGCAACTTAAGCATGCCTAGATCTTCTGGTGTGGTTGTTCTGGCCGAGCCTTTTCTCCCAATTTGGAATGTCTACTATGTCCCCCGAAAGTCCCCCTCGCCCAGCTTGTCTTGCAATTTCTCTAGCCCCTTTAACCTTAACCATAAAATTGAAGCCACATGCTAAATTATGCATTTCACTCATTTTTATCATAGTTCAGTTTTGTCTTCCTGATAGTATGCACCTCAAAGCGGGTATATTCTATCCCTCACAGTATCTAAACTAGCACAGGGCCAGGCCTATAGTCTTGACAATCATACTTGCTTTCTATGGAGATTTTTACAGTGACCAACATCTAGCTTTTAACACACACCACAAATTTAGACCTCAAGATAGCTTTGCCCAGCTCCCAAAAGGACTAATACAGAAACCAGATAAATCTAGGAATGCAAGTTAGATCCATTCATTCTAGGCACTAATGATTTTTGCAATGGGAAATAAAATCCAAGTATATCCTCAGCCCCTCTCCAAACAAAGAGTTGCATTTTTTAGCTGAGCTCAAGGCTGGCTATCAGTAATGGGGCTACGAACCCTCAAGCTACCCCAGCATAGCACTGACTACAATTTGATTGAGACCCTGCCTGTCTTGGAGGCCACTTCTGCCACCCAGACAGACCTTTCAAAGGTATGAAGATCAACTGTAATCTCTCACTGATGGGTCCCAAATAGAATTGGAGCTGGGTTTGCTATAGACCTTGAGTTCTTAGAGGATAGGCAATGTTTAAATCCTCCCCAAATAGAGAGCCTCCTAATTTGGAGGCACACACACACACACACACACACACACACACACACACCCCAGAAGAGAGGAGGCCCAGTTTGGTAATATCTGAGACGGAACAATCAAAGGATTATAACAACAAAGACTCTGAATTGACCTAAAAAGTTCATGTCATCCAGCCCTCTGATTTCAGGAAGATGAACACCAGTGTTTTCCTTAGTAGTAGTCTTTCATTCATTTTTCAACTATTTTGGAGAACTTACTGAGTGCCATGATCACCTCCTATCCATATCAAAGTTTTTTCTTGTATCTAACCATCTTTTCCCCTCTATCATTGTCAGAAGAAATGGCAGCTTTGTCCTTATTTAAGAGTTAACTTTTTAAAGATATAACACACTTGTCACTTAGTAGGTGCTCTACAATTATTTAATGTTTCCTCACCATGTTCCTCCTTTCTAAATTAAAAAACAACACACTAGTCCTTTGGCACACTGTTTTTGTTCTTCTCCAGACCCTCTCCAGCTTTTCCACATATGCTGAAAATGTGTTGACCAAGGCCAGACACATTAATGCTTTAAAAGGCATAACCAATGCTAAGCAGAGCAAAAAAAAAATTGAGGACCATGGGAAAGGTCATATATTTCTGGACTGCACTCCATGTCTGTTTCTAACACTGACTGTGACATTGGACTTTTCTGGGCCCATTTTACCAATTGTAAAATAAGTGTGTTGGACCAGATGACTCTGAGGCTACTTCTAATTCTAAAACTTAGAGCCTGATTACCTCCCAGCCACTTCATGCTATATTTGTGTTATTATATGCTAGTGTTCATGTTAGTTTGGGAAAGAAGAGAGAAAGGGAAAAGGGGAGAGAGTAGAAATAAATTCTACACTATGAACTCATTCAGCTGTGACCCACCCTGAAACGCTGCCCCCAGTTCTTTTTTTTCTTTTTTAACTATACTGTGTCAAGTCAATCATTGCCCATCTCTCTTTTGGTCCTTATACTACCTTGTGTTCATCCCCTCTGAACATCATCCTGTTGTGTTGGTTCATCTTCCTCATTTTGTCAGGGTCATTTAGAAGAATTATATTCTTGGTTTCTGAGGTATCAGCAACCCCACCCAACTGTCATACTTGTTGAGCTGGTTCATCCCTTCAAGTCATTGAGAATAATATGAAATACCATAATGCTAACCCTGTAGAACCTCATTGAATCTGTCCTCCAAGGTTGATAGGGAGTCACTGATTATAATCCTGGAGAGAAACTGCTCCCAGGGCCCCAATGAACTTCTCCAATTCCAATGACCAGAATAGGACACAAGCATCTCTGTGGAGGAGAGGGCCCTTGCTCTGTCAGTCACCCAAGGCAAGGGAGTCTACAGACCTGATGCCTCACTGGATTCAGATATGAGTAGGAATTTCAGCATGTTAGAGGTCAAACCTCCTCCCAGCCCCCAGTCCAGGATGAGGGCAGGGTGGTGGCCCTGGTGGCAATGGCAGCACGGATGGAGGCGGCAGTAGCGTGATGGCATGCAGAGGAGAAAGAAGTGTTATTTTTGCTATTTCATTAGGAGGCCCTGAGGCACTAAGAGAAGGCTTCAGAAGCAGGAACCCATGGCCCTGGAGGTGGGGACAGCAACCTGATGAAGATTGGAGAGGCCTTCATGCGGGTCCAGCAGAGCACAGCCCAGACATGTATCAGTTTAAAGGCACAGGAGGCAGAGAGCTGTTGTGATTCCTAGCCTGCAGAGGCACCCAGCTGGGAGGTCTGTTAGGGCAAGGCCTGTGCAAGGGAGGCAAATTGGGAGTGCTAACTGGATTTTTTATTTTTATAACAAGACACTGTGTTTAAAATTTTTACAAAGGACAAACTCCATGGGTTTCTGTTAGTGTTTTAAGAACTTTTCTTAAAAAAAAAAAAGCCAACGACAACAAAAAACACTGCCTTTTTGAAAGAGAAATGACAGACACAAGAGACTGTAAATAAAATGGGGTGAATTTCTGATGGCATTACCCCGAGGACAGAGGCGTGAACTCCACAGAACCTCATTCACCAAATCTACTCTGCAGTCTGCAGCCCTTCACAGGGACACAGAGATGGCTGGAGAGTTCTCCCCTATGGCCTCCAGCCCCATCCGGCCATAGCCCCTTCCTCCTTCCAACCTGTGGTCTTACTCAAATCTGTTTCTTTCTTGGGGGTCCTGTTCCTTTGTCGGATTCTGTGAACACTGGAGCCAGAAAGACCTGGGCTGGGGCCCTCCCTTCTGGAGCTTCTTCGCACTCACAGGTTGGAGAAGGATTTGTTCCTTTTTTTTTTTTTAAATCAACAAAAACAAGACCAGAAAAAAAAGATCAAGTCTAGGGGAGAAAGAGCTACTCTGCTCTTTACAGCTCCCAAGTCTGGAGTTGGTTGGTGGTGCAGTTCCAAGAGAGGCGGAGGGCAAGCACCAAGGGGGTGTCCAGCTGGTGCTTTCAGGCCCCCAGGAGAGTCTGCGGTCAGGCTCAAGGAGCTGGCTTCAGCTGCTGTCCCATGGGTCCTCAGTTTCTCAAGGACTCATTTGCATCCCCATTTGGAGGGTTTGTTTAGGTTTACTTCCTTATTTGTGTTTTTGTACATGCGGGTGCATGTCCACGTCTATCTATGTTTGTGCAGGTGGGTCTGCTGTTGGGCGTGGGTGCGTGCGTATACATATATATCTGTATGTGTTTCTCTGTGTGTCTGTGTGTGCATGTGTGTTCGTAGATCTGGGAGGAAGGGAGCCAGGAGATAGGCTGTGCTCTGGGCTGGAGCTATACCCGGGTAGTGGAGTGTGAGTGGGGCAGCCCAGTACTGTTGAACCCTGCGGCAAAGGTGTTATAGGGGTGCAATGTCTGCAGCCCTACCAGGGAATTGGGAATCATAGTGATGGTGTTGGGGGTCATGAGTGGGATGTCATCAGGGGAGCGCCGCAGGGTCAGAGTGTAGTCGGGCAGCGCAGTGAGGCGCAGTGTGTCGTGAGGGGGACCGGCCTCACACTCATGGTGGGTGGGGCCCAGCTGTAATGCTGCCAGCTCCTCCTCAGGAGCAGCTCCCAATTCAGGGGCCCCGGCTCCCCTCTGAGGGCTAGGCTGCCGCAGGGGCTCCTGACGTCGTTTGTCCTTACGGTAGTAGAGGGCAGCGAAGGCCAGAACATTAAGGAACAGAAGGGAGGCCCCCACAGCGATGGTGACACTTAATTCAGTGGAGTAGTCACGAGGGTTCTCCACCAAGAGTGGCCCTGCATTCTGATCCCCATTCCAGGACCCTTGGGCATTCTCATTGCTATAGGCAGGGGAGATGGCTGGCCGCTTGGTGCTCCAGGTCTTACCGTTGGGCCTTCGGGTGATGTGGGAGCTGTGGGTGGTATCCAGGGGTGGCACTTTGGTGGTTGTGGACGTATAGTGGAACATGTCATGCAGGTTGTATAGGTGGGGCACCAGGTGTTTCCAAAATGCCACCTTAGTGGCCCGGTAATGATCTCGAACCCTCGGTTTCAGCCCGATGTGAAGGTAAAGCTGGTCTCGGGGGTTGTATTTGGACCAGGCCACTTCCTCAAAGCGGTTGGCCTTGGTGTGAATAAACTTGGTGTCCTGGGGGACCGGCTTGTTGGGATCCCTGAAATACCACATGAAAATCTGGGGTCACCAATCTACCTAGATGAGGAAAGGACCCAGTATTCTTCCTCTCACACCCACCCCTAAAAACCTCCTCCCCAGTCTAAAACTTCCCACTGTTTCCATCTTTTTCAGGGCCCCTCCCTTTGTCCATACTCCTCTTCCCCAGCCTTGAACTCCTACTGCCCACAGCATCATGGAACCATCTCATCCTTCCCTATGCCCAACCTGTAAGATCATGCTATGCCACTTTTCCTTTTCACATGCTACTGAGCATCCATCAATCTTTTCAGCTGCCCAGTTTTCCGAAGAGCCTTTAAAGGCTCTTTCTGAATGTACTTTACTCCTACTTCACACAGCCTCCGGCCATTTAACCGTGCATCCCATAGTTTAGCCAATGACTCCCACTCCTGCTCAGTACTAATGTTAACCGAGTTGTGAGTCTGAGCAAAAATTTTAAGGGAAGGAAATGGTATGAAAGACTCAAAAGGAGGAAGTACGGAGGGTTGTGTGTGAAAGGGTTACCAAGCAAGACTTGGGGAATACTTTAGGAAGGGAGATGATGGAAGAGATTTAGACAGAGCAGAGGGGTGGGCATGCTGGGGTCCCAAAGAAGAACCCCCACGTTCTCCTTACCCGGTCTTGGCAAAGTTGGTCCAGTAGGTCATGACAACAGCACTGAGCATAACGTCATTCTTGGAGAAATTGCAGGGGAAGAGGTCAGTGGGGCCCACCATAGGGACACCGAAAACATAGGGTACTTCGTCCCCATGAGCTGCATCTGACCAAGCAGGCTTCATGAGGCTCTGGCAGTGATGGTAGAAGGCGTAGAAGTAGGTAGGTGAGCCATAGCGGGCATGCAGATCAGCTGTCACCACTGAGGGTTCCACCCACTGGTGGTCAGTGAAGAGTGCCACCAGTGTTTTACGGCGGGTCTCAGGGTTGTCACGGTCTGCCCAGTCTGTGTACATAAACTTGATGGTCTCCCGCAGGGTATCCTTACCCTCAGGATATCCATATAGATTGTCCACAAAGTTGGAGACGGAGTAGTCAAAGTCAGTGCCAGAGACACCATCCTCAGGGTCCACCACCCCTTCCACAAACTTGAGCCCCTCACCCTGGTTGACACCTAACATGATGTCATAATTGAGGAACTCACCCTGTTCCATGAGAATCTCAGGGTCATCAGGGATGACATCACCATCAATCACAGGGCCAAAGGCCACATGGTAGCGGGCTGGCTGGATGTCCTGTTCTACTAGCTCCTTGGCACTCTTTTGCCGAAGACAGTCCACCATATCCACTGTGTCTAGCACATTACAGCCCACCTTGTCTGCCAGCAGGCTGGTATACTTCACTGGTTGGTAGTTCACAGCCCAGCTGGATAGAGCAGAACCACTTTGGATGATGGCCCTCTGAAAAAGCCCTAGAGAAGATAGGCAACACCAGGTCAGATCTGCCTTGTCACCCACAGCCCAGGCCTCCCTTGCCTGTCTCTGAGGGATAAAGCAAACATCTCCTCATTCCTTTGTTACTGAGGCTGCCCTATGGGTTGAATGGGCTGGAAAAGAGTAAAAATCCTTTGGGCTGGGATGATTGGTGAGGACCAGAGGATGGGTTGCTGGGTCCCTTCCCTGATTGGTCCACTGCCTGCTTCTAGCTTCCTTGTCCTGGGGCAATGGTTGGTAACTTGGGGGTTAAGGACATGCCAGGAAGAATTAACCCCTTGGGCCCCAGACATCAGCTTCCTTATGCTCTTTCTCTTTATCTCTCCTGTCTTCCCCGCTTGCTTCCTGCCCAGCTGGGCCCAGTTCTGTGCCAGCGCACCACCAGGGAGCTGGCGCTTCCACCACAAAGGGGTCTTTTTCATGAGAGATGAGAAATGCAAGCAGGAGAGAGCCTCACATTCTGGGAGTCTGGGGAAGGATTTTGAGGGCAAAGTTCTTGGGGTCTGAAAGTCTCCAGGGAATGTGCCCTCCCAGTCCATAGTGTCCACAGAGACTTTCCTTTTCTTGAAGCTACTGAGGCCTCAGATCCAGATTTTCCCCTAGTTGACGGGGAGCCAGTCCCCCAAACTAAAAAAATGAATGATTCTTTCCTAAAATAGGGGGGTATCATTCTCTCCCTGGCCCCAACACTGCCAAGGGATAATCTGGTCCTCAGGCACACAATTCTATTCCTCTAAAAGAAAGACAGATGCATGGGCAGAAAGAGAGGGAGAGAAATACAGATGACAACTTAAGAGACAGCCTCACTTTTCAAAAGATTATTCTCCATGAGTCAATTAAGGAAAGGCAGAGAGAACAAATCTTTAAAGCAGCCAGACTTCCAGGGACACGGGCCCGCTAGGAGACAGAGTGTAGCACCACTCTGAGGAAGGCCTTCTCCTCCCTGTGAAATAGTCCCAACCAGAAGAGGTACTGTTTGTTCCTCTTTTCAGACAGAGGCACCCTCACAGCCAGTCACTTCATCCATCTTTATGGAAAAGGGACTCCTGCTCCAATTATAATCACCTAGAAACACATTCTAAGGTGGGATGCAGATCCCAGCTTAGACTTCCCTCACCGGGGTAGTTCCTAGAGGGAGAGAGGATTTCTAGGTCAGAGCTGGTGATTTTTCTCTCTCAGAGAGATAGGCCTTCTTCAAAGAGAGACTGAAAGTCTTCTTGTGAGAATATCACTAACTCATGGGATTGATTTCAATGAAAAAAAGTCTCTCACATATTTCCTTACTTCAGAGAAAGGCACCTTTACCTCTCAGAGACAGAATGTGCTATAGTCCAGAGGTGATGAGAACATTTCCTGTGAGCACAAAAGGGCCTATTCAGCCCCCTTGGAAGAGTTACTGGCAGAGGGACACACAGCAAGGAGAGAGGCTTTCCTTGGGGCTAAAAATGAGAGTTTCCTTTAGCAGGGCTGTACAGCCCACAAGGAGGTCCGAGTCCGATGATAGGTTTCTACCCTCAGAAAAAGCCTACCCTGCAGGTTAGCAGTCCTTACCTGGGACCCATCCCCCCTCAAGGAAGATCCCTTCTTGTACAGATTTGCTCGTCAGAAAGAAAGCCAGAGAATGAGTGTTTCTTACACCTAAAAACTAATTTCCACCCTAGAGCTCTACCTTGCAGTCATGTGTCCTTCCCTAACTGAAAGATCCCCTGCCTCAAAAAGAACTCTTGTCCCTTCAGAGAGAGGCAATGGATTCCCACTCACTCAAATAAGACTCCGATGTCAGAATGGGGTTACTTTTCTAAGCTGTAAGTGGGATTCTCTCCTCCCCTCTCTCCCATTGGGAGAATTCCATCTTCTTCTAGTGAAACATTTCCCATCAGCTTCTCCCCAAAAGTATACTGAGCTGATAGAAGAGAGTGGGCTGATTCCCCTGGTGCTCCGGGGCATAGAACTGGGCACTCTGGAGCCTGAGAGGCCTGAGGTGCAGGGTAGCCAGCACTTTGCTGGTTCATATTTGCTCCCAGAGCTACTCACCCTCAGAGTGATGTGACAACGTGAGGAGGCTGACACAGGACGCACCGATGCCTGAGCCAAAGACTGTGATACGACGGGGATCGCCACCGAAGAAGGCAATATTCTCACTCACCCAGCGGAGCGCTTGAATTTGGTCAAGGAGCCCATAGTTGCCCTTGGCAGCCTGATCTCCAGTGCTCAGGAAACCTGGATTCAACAAAGGGCATGAGGACAGTGAAGGTGGAGGGATGGAGAACCTGCAGTATGATAGAAGGGGCTGTGAGGACAGAGGATGAGCATGCAGCACAGTTCTATCCACCTAGCTAGTATAAAGCAGAGCTCCTTTCTGCAAGGTCCAGCACCATCAGTACAGGAAGGGTCGGCTCCCTGCCTCCCACCCATGCTCCAGTTTGGAAGGAGGGGTCTCCAGACCATTAGAAGGGGATGCCTCCAGTTGGGAGACCTGCAGGAACTGAAAATGGCCAGGACCCAGCATCCTCTGCCCTAATGTACTATCCTGGTTATGGTTCTAGCACCTGGCATTATAGAGTGGAAAAAGCAGGGACCCTGGACTCAAATAGTCCTTGGTTCGAGTTCCGGCTCTACCACTTACTAGTCATGTAGCTTTTGGCAAATTATTTAACATCTCTGGGCTATAGCTTCCTCTTCTGTAAAATGGGGATAAAAAATACTCTGAATTGTTACAAGGATAAAAGGAACATAAATAAGCATCACTAATATGCTGAGCACATTGTAAATCTGTAGTTACTTCTTTTTCCCCTTCCTTCTCTCTCTGAAGAAAGTGAAGATCCTAAGAGGCAACAACCCCTAAGCTCTCTTTGCCCTTCCCATACAAGTTAGTCCGTCTCCATTTCTTTCCAGGGCCCCGGATATTCCCTTCCCCTCATTCTCAGGACAGGTCTTCATTCCCTTCCTCTAAAGACCTAATGAATCAGAAACTCTAGGGATGGGACCCATCAATCAGCATTTTTAACACACTCTCCAGGTGATTCTGATGCCTGCTAATGTTGAAAAACCACTGGGTTAGACCATCTTTTTCATCTGGTGGAGAAATTGGGGAGTCAGTGCAGTGCGTTACCACAGAAACAGGTCTTCCCGCCCACCCAGTGGAATTTGCTGCCAGGAGATATGTCACCATGGAGACTACCTTCCCACCCACCTGCTGGGATTTGCTGCTGTGGACACTTGTTACCATGGAGACTACCTTCCCACCCACCTGCTGGCTATTCCACAGAGATGTCCTATATCTCCTCATCCTCCCTCCCCACATGCTTTCATTTCAGATGGATTTTGCTGCCTCATTTCAACGCTCTTCCTGATCTCTAGGCTCCTTGGGGCTCTATCTTATCCCACCCTAGACTTTCAGAAGGGTTCTTTCCAGGTGGAACTTGTGGAGCTCCTACATATTGGAAACCCATACCTGGATCAGCATTTTAAAAAAATGTTTTTATTGATTTTTAGAGACAGAGGAAGGGAGAGGGAGAGAGGAGAGAGAAATAGAAATATTGATGAGAGAGAAACATCATCGATCAGCTGCCTCCTGCACACCCCCTATTGAGGATCCAGCCCGCAACCTGGACATATGCCCTGACCTGGAATTGAACCAGTGACCTCTTGGTGCATGGGATTACACTCAACTACTGAGCAACACTGGCCAGGCTAGGTTAGTATTTTTTTTAACCCCACCATGAAAAGCTCATTCACAGCATCTGGCATCATCTTTATGAGAGGCTGTGTTTAAGGAGGCTCCCTCAGCTCACAGAGAGCTCTCTGGCAGTCCTGAAAGTCCACGGGCAGAAGCTGAATTCAAAAGACTCAGTAAGGCACAAGAATTCCTCAGCGTCTTTCTCAAGTCCTTCTGTTTCTAGCTTCTGCAAGAGAGCTCATTTCACCCTCTTCAAGTTATTAATTTACCTTTGGTACAATTAAGTATGTAAAGTACTTAGTTAGTCCTCTCAGGACCTAATCACAAGCCCTCTTTAGCCCCAGGTTCCCAATGAGGAAATGAGAAGGAATTAGAGAAAGCTTGCACGAGGATGAATGGAGGAGTGCTTGTTCCTCTAGACAACAGGACTAGCTCCTCCTTTGCCAGGCCCATTCACAAACTGAAGCTGCTCCTCCGAGTCTTAAGAAGTATGCTGACCAAGATTCAACCCAGCTGTCCAAACCTTGAGACCCTCTGGCAAAAATCACTATGTACTTCTCTAGGCCTGCCTGTCTTCTGCCCCTCCTTTCCCCAAATCCTTTTCTCCATTTCTCTCATTTGGGCAACAGCATATTTGGCCTTAGCCTTTGTCAAGGAAGGTATCATTCAGTGAAATGTGTCAAACACATCTGTCCTAATCATTAGGAAGAGCCTGCATCTGGATGAAGGAAAGTAGATTGCTCCAACATGTACCAGTTTCCTGGGTTAGGAGCAAAGGACTGAAAGGGCTAGGTAGAGGGTTTGACCATCACTCTTGGCTCCCTGAGATCCCAAGAACCTTGGGATAAGAAGATCTGAAGCATGTGGATGATGCCATGCCAACTATCCTTACTACAGGAGTCCTGCTTGAAGTGCTATATCCAACAGGCTCAGGAAGTTGACACAGCAAACATGACCCACCACAAGCACACAAAACCTGGCAGTCTGGGAGAGCAGTCACTCACTGCTAGCTCCCCTGTAACTCAGCCATCCATGCAAAGCATGTGAGAATGAGGGCTAAAATACCAAACTCCACAAACTGCCAAAATAAACCTGAGCCAGTATCCCTGGGCCCAAGTTTATGCTGCTGTGCATGGTAAGTTGCTTGTCAACAGAAGACAGGGGATTCTGGCACCAATGATATCAAAACCAGATATCCATACCACTCAAGGCTTGATGTTTACCAGGTTTTCAGTTTGCCTGAAGGGTACCTGGGCAAGGATATAGGATTAAATTCTGGAACCCAGAATAAAACTTGGCAAGCCTCTACTTCCTCAGTCCCAGGGATAACCACATCCTATATCCTGCTGGGGTCCCTTTCTTTTGTTGGTCTCAAGCCCAGTGAGAGCTTCTCAAATAATAACTACCATTCTGCCTTGGACCTTCTCCAAATACATGAGTCACCCAAGATGTCTAAAGAAGCACCTTAGAGTGAGCTGTCTGTTTGTGCTCAGTGCTCCAGAGAAGCAGATGGGAAGGAGGGTAAATGAATACATATACAGCAGTCCTAAAATAACTTTGTCTCCTTCAACATCTTTTCATTATAATGTTGATAAGATGCCATAGGAATTTAACTCTTGTTTGTATCAATTAGTCAAAGGTTAAAATTGGTACCTTTATACATTGTTTCACTTAATGTCATAGAATCTATTGATAATGTTAAGTGGGGACTTACTATAATTGCGGTTCAAACTAGCCACCTGTTCTGGGATGCTTTGGGAAACAAAACAACAAAGCCTCAGCAAAACTGAGGAAAATCCCCAAGTGTCATGGACAAACCCATGTTCTACAACTGGCAAAACAAGAAGCAAAACATCTTGTATGTACCCAGAATCCAACCAGTGGCTTTACTGATTACATTTGTGTTTCCTAGCAGGCACTGAAGAATACACAGGAAGCAGTAAAGAACTTCTGATCAAATCTTAGTTTATGACTCCTTCTGAGGTTTGGGTAATATTAGTTTGATCATTAACTGCTTACGCCCAAAGAATAATATTTCTACCCACAGATATGCTGTTCTGGTTAACCAAATGACAGGAGGTTGTAAAGTGGGAGGTTCTCAACCTGGGTTTCATGGATGAGCTTCAGTGGGATCCATGAAATCATTTCTACAAGTGTGTGTGTGTGTGTGTGTGTGTGTGTGTGTGTGTGTGTGTGTTTTCCAGGCAAAGTGCATAGCTTTCATCAGAATCTCAAAGGGGTCCAAGACTCCCCAAGAGGTTAAGAACTTCTGATACAGAAGCGTAAGGATTGGGGCAGCTTCGGCTAGGGTTGTGAAGTAATCAGCAAATCACAGGGAGTGCTCACCAGCAACAGCCTTCTGTGCAGCCCACAGCTCCCAACCGACACTGCAAATCTGTCTCTCCTGTCTCCTTTCTGCCTCCTTTCTCTTTGTCACCTTTTCCTCTTTTCTGTCCCCATCCTGTTCTTTTCTCCTTTACATTCTCCCCTCTCCCTCACTCCTCTCCTCTCTCTTTCCTTCATCCCTAGCCAGTCCAAAAATATGGAACTGAAGCATATTCTTAGTATTCTCTGTGCTTTCCAATACATCTTCTAGACTGAAGCTTTGTGCTTATAATTTTTAGAAGCAGCTGAGTTGAATGCTTTCTATTATTCTCACTAAGAAAATAAAGTAGCAACATTACTTTTGGACTTAAACTGCTGGGTATGTGTGCCTATATGTCTGTGTATGATTATATTTGTATATTCATCATTTTTTAAGAACTCTGCAGCCCTAGTACATGTATTTCCAGCCACCTTCACAGTATCATTTTTATTGTCACAGACTCAAATTCCCTTTCTCAACAGGACAGAACTTCTTAGGAGAACCTTGCCAAGATGTCTGGGGAAGCTCAGACAGGAGCAGCAGCAGAATCATGAAACCCAAAGCACATCAGACTATTAACAGACTGGGGAGCTGCCCTGCAGGCTTCATACCCAGTATCCAGATACCACTGAAGGGGACACAGGCTCCACTTTTTCCAGGGAATATCACTTCTCCAGCCTGAACCCCAAAAAGGTATCTTGCTATCCCATATAGTATTAAGGCAGTACCAGAGCCTCTGGAATTAGAACTGGCAAAGCAATATACTCAAAAGCAAATTAAAATAATCCAACTAGCCATGTAGGAAGCCATGCCTAATTGCTGGTTCAGCACGCAGGCCTACAGACCTGACAAACAGCCTTGACCCCCACTGGAACTCTGAGGACACAAGCCCTCGAGGTAAGAAGTTGACTTCTTCATGCCACTCCAAGGATATGGGGCTGCATGTGCCCTCTGAGGCCTAGGTGAGCATATGAAAAGGAGCAAGGACCTTTATGCCCAGTCACCTCTTTAAGGCACTTGTGTACCTCAAGACCTTTGCCACATATAAGCATTAACAGTCACTGAGAAAGGTATGGGGTATAGTGGAAGCCCAAATTACTGAAACAAGTGTGTGGGTGACACAGTGTGTGTGGAGAAGGGCATGTGGGAGTGTATGAGGAAGCATTTGGAAAATAAATGTGTGTGTGAGAATGTGTTTGTATAATATGTGGGACCGTATGAGGATGTACACATAGAGTAGAAGAAATGTACATGTGTGTGTATATGGGGTACATAAGTGTGGGTGTGCATGAATATGGGCATGAGTAAAGTTGTATGTGCATGAATGGGAAGATGTGGGTATATGAATGTGTATACATTTGTGGGATAGTGTGGGGGAATGTGTACACATGTATGTATTAGATGTATATATGCAAGGTATATATGGGACATATGTGTCCATGTGGGTATATGTGTAGGAGGTCTGTATGTATATATGTGAGGGGATGTAGATATAGATGTGCAAGCAGGGATATGAAGTGTGTGTGTGTGTGTGTGTGTGTGTGTGTATGTATGTAGTATTTGTGTATGTGTGGGGTGGGGAGGTGTGGATGTGTAGGTATGGGTGTTTTTGTGTAGGAAGGGGGAATATTGGTTTGTGTTTATGTAGGGAAAGTGAGGGGCATATGTGTGTATGTGGGTGCTGGATGAATGTGGAAGTGGAGTGCATGGGGGATATGAGTATGTATGGAAGAAATATTTATGTACATTTAAGGTATATATGATATATGTGCGGGGTTTGTGTGTGGATGTGCAGGGTATGGGTCTTTGTGTAGAGCATACATATGGACATAGATATGTGTAGGGAGCAATATATGGGAGTGTGTGTGTGTGTGTGTGTGTGAGAGAGAGAGAGAGAGAGAGAGAGAGAGAGAGAGAGGGAGAAATCTGTGTAGATGTGGGATAGGGTTATGGGATATATAGAATATATGGGCATGTAGATATGTGTGTGAGTGAGACTACATGTGTGGAGTGTATATGGAGTGCTGGGGGAATGTGTGTGTATGTGAGGAAATCTATATATGTGGATGTGGGGGTCTACATGTGTATGGATATGTGAGTGTGCTTGTGGGGGGATGAGTGAGAAATCACCATATGCATGGGGGTGATTGAGGACAGTGTGCATATGTGAACATGTGAAGGTATGTGGGTGTGTGGATATGTGATTGGCTAGAAGGAATTCCTATGTATGTGCAGGGTGTTTAGAGATTGTGGGTGGGTGGGTAGTGATGAGGACAGGACACTAGAAAATTAATGGGCCCTGTAAGACTCAGCCAAGCAAAAGTCTGGAAGCAGAGACCTGGCTTAAGACCTAAGAGAAGGTGTGAAGTTTGAATTGAATTTCCAGTGGGAACTAAACATCCAGGAAAGGGCCTGGGGACATAGGGAAGCTCCCATTACTTGGGTAGGGGTAATGGGATAACAGCATTTTTACTATGTTTATTAGCACCAGCTAGGAAACCAAGGCCACTGTTCTTGACTCCCCAGCATTCTTTCTTCCCTCCTTGAGAACCCAGGCTTCCTCCTAGACACCTAGCAGGGAACCATACCTAGCACCCCAACCCGATAGTTGAGGGTGATGACGATGACGTTGCCATAACTGGCGAGGACGCTGCCATCAATCATGTTGCCTGTCCCTTCCATGTAAGAGCCTCCATGGATGTAGACCATGACGGGCTTAGCACCACTGTCCCGGATGTCTGTAAGAAGAAGGGGTAAGACATAGGCTGGGTAGGATGCCCTTCCTTCCCCACCCCCACCAGCCCTGGGGGGGGGGGGTGCAGGTAGCAAAGCTATCCCAGGTGCCAGGACACCACCGCCATCTCTGAGGGCAGGACTCATGGGGCTGTTCAGCCTAGAGCTTGAGCATCAGCCAGAGATACTTGGACTTCAGTGGTGTTGGTGTTTTTAAAGACTCTGGTTTCAAGTGCCTCCCAGCAGCCTGGCCTGATACAGCTAGGCCTAGGTAGGCCTGGAGGTGGCGGGGGTTCGGGGGGGGGGGCGGGGGCAGGCAGAAGGAAGAGGAAGGGCTGGTTCCTTGGCTGCATCAAGTGAGTCCTTCCCTGGGCACCCAGAAGTCCTGGGACCTGATATGGCTTTAGAGAGCAGGGGCTGGGGAGCCCTGGAACCCCCAAGACTAGACCAGTTCCATAGAAATACAGCCATTGGCAGAAGCTGGCCCCCCAGTGCAGACAGAGACAAGAGGGGTGGGAAGGGGTAGCACAGGGAGAGAACAAGGAAGAATATGAGGAAAGGGGAGTGAATGGCAGAGATGGGATAGGGGACCCTTAGTGACATGGTTTCTCATTTACCCCATTCTCCCAGGACATCAGGCAGATTTATCTGGAGCCATTGGGGATATGGAAGATGAAAGGACAGAACTAAGACTGAGAGATCTGGCCCCCGTCAGCATTAGAATGAAGATGGAGCCTCCCAGAGGCCATACAATGAGTGACCTTAAAGTGGCTGTTCCCCAGTCTCAGCAGACAGGGGCAGGGATGGGATGGGCATTCAGGAGGAGCCTCCTGGCCTGATCACCTCTACCTGGAGCCTCTCAACACTCAGCCACACCAGCACAACCCTAGTAGCCACCAACGGACCCCCTGATCTGTCTGGCCCCTCCGGGGGTGAGGGGGCAGGGTCACAGAGGTAGAAGGGAAAGCTCTCTGCTGCTGAGCAAACGTACCCTGTTTTCCCAAGGAGGAAGGAGGACTGGTTCAGCCATCACTCAAGGATCTTACGCCATCCACTAACTGAGCTGTGGTGTCCCGGCCTCAGCCCAGAGCTTTAGCCCCCAGTCCTTCTGCTAAGAGAAGGCTGGGGAGGTTTTAGCTGGGGCTATTCTCCAGCCCCTTTGGTTGTCACTGCCTCACTCCTCTGTTCAACATCCTGCTGGGCCCCTCTCCCAGGAGCCAGTCTCCCCACAACACAGGCATCTCCTCACCCTCCCTCAGCCCTGCTTTCTCTCCACTCTCCCTGCTGCTCAGTAGGGGCAGGTGCCCATGAATCACAGAAGATGAGGAGGAAGCTGTCTCCAGCTTACTACTATAGGACTGAGAATGGGTGGGAAACCGGGGTGAGGAGGATGCCCTCCCCATGGCTCTGCTTGTCGCCTCCTGTGCCCACCAACATGTCCATCACCCTGGAACTCCCAATGGCCAACCAGGCCAAAGATGAATGAACAGCCCAATGGCCTTGTACAGAAACAGAAACACACCAACGGACGGACAGACAGACAGACGGGGCTTCTCCCCATTGAGAGGGGGAGGGGCTCTGTGCCATGCACCAGCCGCCACGCCCTGCAGCCCCCAAATACCTTCATCTTCATCCCCGTCATTATCCGCTAAGTCCTCGCCCTGTTTCTTAGCGCCGGATCCTGGGGACCAGACACGGGGAGACACAACAGCACAGAACAGAGAACAAAACAGAGAGAGAATTCAAAAACAGCATGACTGCAGTGTGGCCCAGCAAGCCAGCTCTGGGCCTGGGCCCAGGACAGGCAGGACGGATGGCAAGAACTGAGGGAATGGGTGGGCTGAGGCCCAGACTTTCATCAGGAAGATGGTGTTGCAGGCCCCTTTTGTGCTGGCCTCCCTGCACTTCCCTGCCCCGCCTCCCTGTCCCAACAGCCCATCTCAACCAACTACCTTCCAGTTAGGAAGGAGGTAGCAGCAGGTGGGCCAGGGCACAGAGCCAGAGAGCTACTCAGGGAAGGGATTTCTTCCATCTGGAAGGGGCTGTGAGTGTACACATAGGCAGGCTGAGCTGGAGAGCAGGGCAGGCACTAAGTGTGAGAGGCAGCATTGCCAGCATGTGTGGATGTGGATGTGAGCTATTAGGGCAGAGAAAGGTACCAGGGACCCCAGCCCTGGGCTCCTTGGGACCAATGAGCAAGCGTAAGCTGAGCCTCAGCTCACCCTGATTCCCACAGGAGAAAATGGGACATGAAGCTGTCCCTCTGGTTTTCCTTGTTGGGACCTCCTGCTCTGGATAATGGCAAATGAGGTTCCTGCCCATAGGAACCAGGCCTGAGAATAGCAAGCTTTGCTCTGAGATCTAGAGAGAGCCTGAGGAGGGAGGGAAGGAAAGAAACAGGGAGAAATAGGGGTAGGGTTGGGGGAGGAGGAGAGGGAGGGAGAGAGAAGCAGAGGGAGAGAAACACAGAGATAGAAACAGAGAGAAGCAGAGAGAGAAACAGAGGAAGGGAGGGAGAGAGGGAAACAGAGATAAGAATAATGGTAATCACTCCTACTGTGTACTATGTACTGAATATCATGTCAGAGACTCCACTTCTGTCATAGAGTTTCATCCTTACACCCCAATGAGGCGGGTACTATCTTTATTCTTGTTTTACTGATGGGGAAACTGAGGTTCAGAGGGGTAAAGTGACTTGCTCAAGATGATACAGCTAGAAAGTGCTAGAGATGAGATTCAATCCCAGGTCTACTTGACTCTGGAACCCATGGTCTTTCCACTGCACCATGCCATCTTTTTGGGATAGGGGAAAAGGAAGGGAAAATAAATGAGAAAAGAGGTGGAACATGGAGAGGAAAGGAGGGATGGGAAGGAGAGAAAAGAGACCAGAGGAGAGAAGAGAGACATTTAAGACCTGGGGGTAAGCTGGCACCAACTCTTCTTCCTGTTCTAAGGAGACAAGAAGTGCACCTTGAGAATGGCTGTGGAGAAAGGAGACCTCCTGCCTGGATGCTGGGCAGCATGTGGAAACAGAGGTCATTCTGTTGGCACCCAGCGCTTACCCTCTTCTCTAGGACACCAGATACTCTCAGCCTGGAGGCAGCAAATAGCCTTCTTTCTCAGCTGGCCTGGTCTCTGGTGCTGAATTCCCTTACAGCTATTAATCAAAACAGAAACCACCCTCATAATACAAAATGGCTTTTCAACTAGGGCAGGAGCCCAGCCCGAGGGATAGAAACCTCCTCCAGCTTCCCAAACTTCCAGTGGTGTCTACTGTCTTAACACCTAACATTACTGCCCTCAGAGATCCTGTGGGGATTGGGGCTTCATTATCCACATAGTGGGCAGAAAGGAATCACTCATCCCTACACATGAATTCCCTCCAACTTGAACGGGGTTGGGGTGAGGATGGGGCAGGTCTTCCCAGGAAATCCTTTACTTCCCATGGGCCCTGGCTTAGAAGATGCATCCCTCCTGACCACTGGGAGTGTTTCTGGGTTGCTGCACTGTCTCAGCTTCCTCTATCTGCCTTTGCTTCTTCAGCTTTGCACTTTGTGAGCTACTCCTTGCTGCCATGCCTGTTACCCTGGCCAGCTTGACCACCATCCCCCATCCTGACAGAGTATTGCTACAGGATCCCAGCCAGGCCAGCCCTGCCTACCCTAAGCACACAACCCTAACCACCTCTGTGGATGAGTCTCCTCCAAATGGGCCCTGAATAGGGAACTACTTTGAACAGTTAAATGACCAAATGACCTCTTCTCCAACTGTCTGAAAATCTACCTCCCAGATTGGCCTGTGGGCCCTGGCTAAACTGGCTGAGACTAAATACTAGGCTAGGAGCTTCTTCAGAGTGGCAATCAGACCTTAAGTTATTTCTAAATCTTTCCTCTGCCTCATTTATCTCTCTCCACATCCCAACAACACCTAGCACTTGGCCTTGCCCACTGTCAACTATTATGATCAGTATATGTATCTGAGTGGAACTAAAAGCCAGCTCTCTAGCCAAACTCTCAGGACTGGACTGTCTTAGGCCCTTACTGGTGCTCTGGGGAGGTCATTCTTCCTAGGAAATGGTTAATTTTAAGATCATTTCCTCTCCCTCCCACCCAAGTAAGTAACTCAAAGGAGTAACTTTAAGAGACCCTCTTTGTCTGGCTGGAGTGGCTCAGTGATTGAGCACTGACCTATGAACCAGAGGTCACAGTTCGATTCCCAGTCAGGGCACATGCCCAGGTTGCGGGTTCAATCCCCAGTGTGGGGCGTGCAGGAGGCAGCCAATCAATGATTCTCTCTCACCATTGATGTTTCTATCTCTCTCTACCTCTCCCTCTCTGAAATCAATAATATATATATTAATATATATATTAATATATATTAAAGAGACCCTCTTCCAGAGTTCATTGATAGGCTAATGGAATGTTAAGGACAATACCGGTCCTCTACCACCTTCACATGTGCAGAGGTTCTTAAAGGAAAATATTTGCCTAAGGTCTCACTGTGAGTTAGCAGCAGAGCTGGGACTGGTCAGGCTTTGTGGCTCTGAGACCTGTACTCTTGCTGCAGCACCACAATGCTTCTTCATTTGTGAAAAAAAAAAAGTGTTTACTGGTAGCCTACTGCTTGTAGGGTCCTGGGCTGGGAGTAGAGATATGGTGGAAAACTCCCCTGGAGCAGCAGGCCTCACTCACTGCTCAGTGTGTATCAAAAGCACTCAGCACGCATGCCCATTGTGGAGATCCTGGGTTCTGCTCCCTGAGGTTCTCACTCAGCAGGGAGGACCCAATCCCAGGAATCCTGAAGACCCCACCTGGGGGAACCCTGCTCCAGGATTTTAAAGGAAAACAAGCTCCAAGTTTGCCAAAGAGTTTTAGGAATTAGGCTGATTTTCCACCAATTCTTAGGCTATTACTGTTTCTAGTTTGGCCCAACCTGTCCACACTTTACCAGTTTTCAGAACTGGGGAGGCAGGAATGACTAGACTGGAGTTGAGTTGGTTCACGTGCTACAGCGGAAAGAACACTGTCCTGAGGGTCAAGGGACCCAGGTTTTGTTCCCAGCTCTGCCACAGACCAGTGACAGGGGATGAGCAGCAGCAAGTCACTCCCCTGGGCCTGTTTCCTCATCCATAAAATCAGGATACCAATTCCCGCCTTAGAAGCTTCCAGAGATGTAGGGAGGATTTTATGAGGTAAGTATGAAAATTCTTTACAGAAAACATAAAGTGCTACTCGAACATGAAGAATTGTTATACAGGGGGAACAAATTCCTCCCAGCAAGAGGGTCAATTTAAAACGCAGGGTCTCGTGCCTCCTTTAGAGTCCATAGTTCCAGGAGGAAATCCCTCCCCGCCCCCAAGTCTGCCACAAAACCAGCCCAGGTCACTCAGCTGCTCTGGCCAAAGGTGGGGAGTTGGGTGGCAGGATTCCTAAGCCTGTGCATGAGTTTGGTCTCAGCTTCAGGGCTGGAGAGTTAATTCTAGACCAGTGATGGCGAACCTATGACACTTATTTTTTTGGTTGATTTTTCTTTGTTAAGTGGCATTTAAATATATAAAATAAATATTAAAAATACAGTGGGGCCTTGACTTACGAGTTTAATTCGTTCCGTGACAGAGCTCGTAACTCAAATTACTCATGTCAAATCAATTTTCACCATTACAATGAATTGAAATGCTGGGCTGATGTTGTGGCGTTCACTGTGACGTTCGCTGAGCCAACTAGCGGTGGGGTATCTTGAAGCTGGCTTGTAATCTGAATTTTAGCTTGCAACTAACTCAAAGCAAAAAATCGGCCGAGAGACGGCCCGTATCTCGAAAAACTTGTTAATCCGGGCACTTGTAAGTCAAGGCCCCACTGTATAAGTCTTTGTTTTACTGTGGTTGCAAATATCAAAAAAATTCTATATGTGACACGGCACCAGAGTTAAGTTAGGGTTTTTCAAAATGCTGACACGCCGAGCTCAAAAGGTTCGCCATCACTGGTCTAGACTATCAATCCAGGAACGAACTTGGAGGGGTGAGCCCATGGCTCCCTAACCAGGAAAAGGCCTCTGGTTCCACCTTGACTGCCTTGAGTTCTCCTGAGGTGGCTAGAGAGAACCACTGGCTCTGTCTTAAGAGTGGAATTGAGGTCTGAGAAGATAAGAAGAAACGTGGTTGCTGCTTTTGCTCTGAATCTGCCTTAGGCCACCAAATCCTCCCTGAAAAGGCGGCCAGGGCCCTTGGATGAGGTGGAGCTATGTCTGCTCACCATCTGCCCCCTGAGCCTGGGCCACTTGAAGGAAGGCAGGGTCCTCAGGGGCAAGTGCAGGTGGGCAGGCAGCCCTCCCTCTCTCTTTCTCTCTCTCCCTCCCCGCCGGCTCGCTACCTACCTCCTTTCCTACAAATTTTCTTGTTGGGCTTTCGGGCGCATTCCTTGGAAATCCGCTTTACTGTAAAATGAATAAAAAACTAAAAAATAACAGGAGGCCTCTGCCAAGGGGCATGCACCCTCCACCCCCAGACCCCAAGAGCTGCTCTCAGGTGGCACATGGCAGAGAGCCTCTCCCACCACCTCCTTGTTTCTGTCACTTACCTTAGTGTGACCCCCGCGGGAGGAGGCACCAGCTAGTGAAAGAGGAGGCACCTAAGTAGTGCCCACCAGGCTTGCCCCGATCCCCCCCCACACCTAGCTCCTTTGGCTACACACAACTTCCACCTTCCAAAGCAGGTGGAATGGCAACAGGAGGCCTGGTGGGGCTAGCATCCTCCCGCGGGCAGCTGCTGGCAGTGACCCATACTCCCCCAGAGAACCCCCATCCAGCACTCTGACCCTAGACTTGTCAAAGCTCTCAGGCCTGGCCAGGCCCCTCCTGGTAACAGTGTCACTCACACAGGGGAGCTCAGACAATGCTGGGAGAGCAAAGAACAGGGAGGAGGAAGGGGGACGCCAAGCAGAGTGATGGTTAGACAGACAGAGGCATGCTGCAGGGCACACAACCACATGCAAGCCACAAACACAACAGGGCAGGAGAAGGCAGGGAGGGCACAGTGCCTGGCCACAGCACTCACCATCCTCCGTGGGCACATAGACATTCAGGTAGAGGCAGTCTTCATTGGGCTCTTGGATGTAAGTGGCGACGATATCCAAGTTGGCAGTGAACCAGACAGGCAGCATGACTTCGGGCACAGCTGTGTGGATGTTCTGGGGACACACTGGGGGAAAGTGTGTGGCGTTCCGGATGCCCGACCAGGATGGGGGTGGTTCAGGGGGCAGGAAGCGTTTCTCGCCGATCGGAGGAGCTGCGTAGGGCACCCCCAGGTATTGGTCCACAGGCCCCAGGATCTCACTGGGCAATGGTACCCGGGCACCCCTTAGCTTTCCAAAGTGAGTATTGACTGTGGGCGCTGGGGCCTGTGTACTGGCCCTTAGCACCAAGCCGAGGAACCACAGAGTGAGGCACAGGCTCCGGCCAACTGTGGGCTTGGGGCTCAGGGGCAGCCAGGGCAGGCCAAGCCACAGCCACATGTTCTGGGCAGGGGGACTGGCAGGAAAGGCAGATTCCAGGGTCACAGCATCAGCCCAATAGGCAGCCCCTTCATGGCCACACTGACTGGAACCTCAAAACTGAGCTCTTGAGGGACACCTACAGGTGCTGGCCACGTAGAGAGCAGGTCATCCAAGCACCACAGCTTCAGAAAGAAGACTCCCTCAGGGCCAGACAGGCCTGTGGAAAGAGGGAAGTATTCGTCATCCAAGACAGTGGGGAGGGTTATGGAGTGGGTTTTGGGGGCCCTGCTGGGCTTGGGCTATTCTCCTAGTTAGGAGAGGTTTCACATGCCCAAAAGTCGAGAGACCCATAGATGATCTCCACTGCCAATCTGAACCATTCTATGTGCCTGGCCATGGTTGGAAAACCCAAGGGGATTGACAGAATGACAGCAGTTGCCACTACAAATTACCAATCCCCAACTTGAGCTCCTCAGCCAATGGAGCTCCCGAGGGCCAGCTGGAGCCAGAGTAGCATGTGGTAGAAGAGGTGAGAACTGGAAATAGAGCTAGGTTCCCGGGCATGCTGCAGGAACACTACGCCCTCTAGCCCCGGGACTGGAAAGCCCACACAAGGACCTCTGCTTCAGGGGAGAGGATTGTGAACCTCACTCTGAGACTCTATGGCATAAGAAAGGAAAGCAGCAGTCAAAGGGTCCCACAGAGATACCCTTCATGCTCAAGGCAGGGGCAGGGGCAGGGGCAAGGATAGGGGCAGGACAGCCATTTCCCAAAGTCCCCAGAACCTCCTGTGCCCTTCTGTACATTTCTCCTCAGCCTTAACTGCTCCCAAATCCTTAAGCCTTGGTCATCTCTGTCAGCTACCTCTGAGTCACATGGAATGCCAGAACTGAGGCAGAAACCCTTCTGCCTAGCACCCTAGGCATTGTTGATGCTCAGCCAGTGGAAAATAAACAGTGGAGTGTGGGGAACACACTCTCAGAGACTCACACTTTGAGACTCACAAAGTCTCAAAGAGGAAGTAAGAGATACCAAGCCAGATAATAAATACTACAATATTCACTCACAGAGACATACATTTCAAGCCCACAGAGATCCCCTCATATAGTGTCACATTCTGAGACAGAGAGTGTCACCCAGCCAGAGACTTACTAAAATATAGTCACACACACACTACTCAGGTAAATATCCAGACACATGCAGCATGATGGTGACACATAGGTGGAGACAGAAACAGGAATAGCAACACAATTGACACAGGCCTTCTGACACACAGGTACAGTCAAAACATATCCACAGGTACACACAGACACTCGTGCATGGACACACACACACACACACAATATATATTTCCTTTTCCCCCCATTTCTCCCAATTTCCAAGATTGCAGGACTTCTCCTTTAAGACTTTAAGAACTGCCTGAAGGGGTGGGGGAGGGAGATTGGGAACGCCCGGCAATTCGCCACCTCCGAGAGGGGAATGAGATGAGAGAGAGAGAGAGAGAGAGAGAGAGAGAGAGAGAGAGAGAGAGAGAGAGAGAGAGAGCGCGCGCAGAAGGAGGGTGAAGGGAGGGCGGGCAAAGAGACTAAAGGGGTGGGGGCTCAGACGAAATGAAATGGGGAGCAAAATATGGGGGCTTAGATTCCAGCCACTGCCCCACTGCCCATAATGGCCCAGGGTTAGGGGAGGAGGGGCAGGAGAAAGAAGGGGTAGGAATAGGGAGGTGGAGCAGGAGCGAGTGTGTGTGTGTGTGTGTGTGTGTGTGTGTGTGTGTGTGTGTGTGTATGGGGGGAATAGTCCGCAGCTGAGTTCACACAATCCCCCCATTCACTGTCTCCATGGCAACTCTGGGGCACAGACCGCTCATTCACACGGCTTCCCCACCAGCACCCACCCCCACTATTAACCCTCTCGGTGCCGCCCCTCCCCACAAATTCCATTAACCCTTTTGGGATGCTTCCCTCTCCAGTACCCCTTTGGTACCAAATGCCGGACCCCTTTGAGTCAATTCCCTGCAGTCCCTCCCCCGTGAACACCTAGACAAATCGACCCCCAAACGCCCTCTGTACCCTAAGACCCACTGTAAGTCCCCAAGGCCAAGATCTTCATCCTGGCCCAACTTCCAATTTGGGAGAAGACAAGGAGAGGTGGCAATGCCAGGGATTAGAATGGCATCTGGGGGTACTTTTTAAGCTGGAGCAGTATTGGGTGAGGGGCATTTACAGGAATGCACTGGTATTGTAAACCACAGGATTGGGGGCTATGAGGGCTCTGAACGGAATTGAGGGATGGAGCTGCATTGGAATGGGGAAGATAGGATAAAGGCCTCTGTTAGGAGGGGGGCTGCAGAGTGGGGGAGGGAGCCTGGCTGTGAGATGCTACCATAGAAGAGGGATGGGGTTGCACTGTGGGGGTGGGGGGACTGGCAATGTGCATAACAGGAATGGGATTGGGGGCCCTCAGTAGGGGTATTTTGGTGAGCATTCGAGCCGGGCTGTGGAAATAGAGGGACCATGGGCAGGACGATGACAGGGATATGTGGGCTTCAGGGGGGAGGTGAAGGAGAGGAGTGGGGGAGGATTGGGGGGTCAGGGGTGCCGATGATGGAGAACATGGGGTTGAGGATGGGTAGCACTGGCTGGGGAGTGGAGGAGCCCGATTGGGAGGGGATAGGATGGGGCAAGGTATGGACGGCTAAAGAATGAGAGACCTCGGCCTCACCTGTTCCCCTGGCTGTTGCAAGCGACTGAACCGGGCCTCGGACCACCCATATCGCTTCCAGGCCAAGGGCTCCGCACCCGAATCCCGGAGATCTGCTCTCTGGCTGCTTGGCTGCTGTGCCCGCGCACCCAGGGGGCGCGCTGCGCGTGCCCGGACACGGGGGGCGCGGTCCCTGCCATTAACTCCTTTTGTGCCAGAGATGGCTCAAGTCCTGGGGCATGGCCCAATTCCTCCCATGATCTGGCACACACTGCTCATGAAATCCCTCTTCCTCACACACATACCCCCTTCAAGTCACAAACAGGTAATCTTCCAGGGCAGCTAGTCCAAACTTTACCTGCAAAGCTTGAGAACTTGAAACAAAGGGAGAAACTGAGGCACTGCTTGCAGGAGACCCCAGTCATACTCCACAAACAGGTCTCCACCTCAGCAGCCCTCACCTCTCAGCACCAGCACTATTCAAGTAGCACCAGTGGAGGGCACTTTGCCCTCATCCTGTCGCTCTCAAAGGTCAATGATGTTCCTTTTTGCTGCTTGTGTGGGGCCATGTCAGCCTCAGACTGTCAGGGTCTCTCCTCTCTAGATCCGGCTGTCTTTGTGTTCCTGTATGTAGTGCACCTGTCCAGTTTATTTAATCCCCATACCCGAAGCCCCTCTGAGTGTCTCTTATCCCAGCCAAATCTCTACTCCTGTATCTCCTTAGAAGAGCAGTTGCCAACATTTCGGACCTCATGGACCACCAGTGGTCCGGGGACCATCGGTTGGCGACTGCTGCTTTAGAATGTTCAGCAGAAGCTTCAGTCATGTTTGTTTTGGCCCTATCAGGGAGTTCCATTCCTTGAGCACATAACTCAAACTTAAGTGCCATACTTTGTGGATCTCAAAGAGGGAGTTTATTTTTTATATTTCATAACTTGGGTATGGATTGGTGCTCCTAGTTTTACCAGCACACTCGACACTTCCCAGTGATATAGTGCAAATATGTCCTGGATGTTATCCTGAAGTTGTCAAATCATCCTGTACTGCCCACCCACAGAGAAGGGGCTGGTCCTCTTCTAGCCCCAGCTGGGCACACCAGGGGACTCCATTGTAGTAAACCAGTTGATTCTCCCAGATAGCATTTGATCTAGGGCCCTAAAACTGAAGGCAAGGGGCCTGGCCCCTATAGCTCAGTGGTTGAGCATCGATCTATGAACCAGGAGGTCCTGGTTCAATTCCTGGTCAGGGCACATGCCTGGGTTGTGGGCTCGATCCCCAGTGGGAGGCGTGTAGGAAGCAGCGGATCAATGAATGATTCTCTCTCATCATTGATGTTTCTATCCCTCTCTCCTTCTCCCTACCTTTCTGAAATCAATAAAAATATATTTTAAAAAACAAAAACAAACCTGAAGGCAAGGGATCCCAGAATGGCCCTGCACAGTATCAATTGTGACTCTGAAGCAGATTTTGTTATCTCTACTTTAAAATTGGAGTGACCAACAGTTACCCTGGGTAACTGCCAAGGTGAGTAGTGTAAAAGCAAGCAGTTACAGCAACAGAGCAAAGAAAAGGGTGCTTCCTTTTACTGGTGTCTCTTCCTCCTGGAACCATGCCAGACTTCCACCACCTATTCAATGGTGACACTTGCTAATGCAGGGCAATTTTTCATCCCCGAAATGTGAATCTCAGGGAAGGTTTCTGTCTAGGATACCACTTGGCACATGATGGAGACCACAAAAGGTGGCAAAAACGGTAGGCAGTGTCTGTCACGCCCTCCACTCTGAAGCTTGTTCAAAACCCAGCATGTGGATGAGTGGAAGCAGAATCAGGTTCCATTGATTTTTCTCCCTCTGGCCTGACGGCCCCTCCCCAATCCCAGTGGTATATCCACCATGACGGAAAGTTATCCAGAAGCTGTATCATCTAGCTGAGAACATAAGCTGCCCTTCTTAAGAGACTAAGGGCCCAAACCTTAATATGTTGCCAGGTTGGAGAAGTGAAGAGAGGGTAGCAATCCAATTCAACTGAGAAATTTAGGGGATGGAAGGCAAACAGGGGAGATGATCTGAACAGAATGAAGGCTCTAACTTGTCCGTCCGTCCAGCCTCCAGTACTCTCCCAAGGGCCCGCCCTTCCCAGATATGCAGAACTCACACGTGCCCTTTGCAAAGAAGCTCTGTGTATTGGGTGCAACAGCTCTGGGGTCTCAATATAAATAATATACAAAACCCAACAGCTCAATGCCTCACATTAACAAAAATACTAAAAACTCATTAAAAATGGAGCCTGAGGGAAGAGCCCCAACCATTACTGGTGCTAGCCCAGGAAGGGGATTGAGAATTCAGAGAAAAGGGTGGGGCCACATCCAGTCACAAGCAGCTCCTCCAGATGGCTCAGTAGCGTCCAAATATGTTGGTACTGGGCTGTGGCTGGGTATCTGTGAAAAACCAGAGAGGATCAGGGGTGGGATGCCAAGCGGGGCTGTAGATATGCATGGGAAGAGCTACTCAGGTGCTAAGGGAAGGGATGGAATATAATGCTTGCCCCCACAATATGGGCTAGAAGCAACAGCCTCAGCTACTTGCCCCTCCCCACCCCCAATTTATTTCATGGGACTCTCCTGGGAAGGAAGGAAGGCTTACTGGAGAGCTGTTGTTGGAGCTGCCGGACCAAAGCTGCTGTCTGTTGCTGTTGCTGGGTCTGCTGAAGCCCCTGGCGTTGGAACTGAGGTAGAAATTGGAAGTGGAACACTGAACTCAAACCCTCTACTCGGAATCTTCCACATCCTTCTCTATCCCCATCTCCCCATCTCTTTTTAGTGTGCCATGCCTTGCCTCCTACTTCTACCACATGGCACACTGTCCCCAACCTAGTTCACTGGCTGCATGCCCAACCTGGGCAGCTGTCCCTGAGCCTGGGGCTGGAGTCCAGCAGCTACCTGGGGCTGGGACTGGGGCTGGGGCTGGGGAGGAGCCGCTGCCTGTTGCTGCTGCTGCTGCTGCTGCTGCTGCTGCTGTTGCTGCTGCTGGTGTGCTTGTTGTTGTTGTTGCTGCTGCTGCTGTTGCTGTTGCTGTTGCTGCTGTTGCTATGAGAACATAAGAGATATTGCTAAGGAGAGCAAGCAGCTGAGCCCAGGCATGGAGGGATGGGAACAGGGGAAGAAGCAGCAGGGAGGAAACTGGGTTCAGTGCCCTCCTTCCTCAGAGAGCTGCAGAGAAAGATACCCAATCTAGAGTCCCCAGCAGACAACCCCCAACTCTCTCCCAATAGAACCCCCCAAAACCAAAGTGAGTATAAGGGGAAACTAACTCTCTAAGATCCTACTGCATGCCAGATACTCTGCCAGGCGCTTTCTATGTACTGCCTCAGTCACTATAGATAACAATGAGGAGGAGCCTGGGCCTTTCCTCCTCCTCGGGTTCCCAGGTCCCCTGTGAACTCCCTGGGCCTTACCCGTAGGATCTGCTGCTGCTGCTGCTGCTGCCGGATGTGGTACTGTTGCTGCTGCTGTTGCTGTTGCTGCTGCTGCTGTTGCTGCTGCTGCTGCTGCTGCTGCTGCTGCTGCTGCGGCTGCTGCTGTTGTTGTTCAGGCAGGATGGCAGCTGATCGGACGGCAGCCTGGACACCCTGAGTGCTCAGTGGTGTCAGGGTACCTATCATGGGTGTTTGCTGCAGTGTCTGGTGTGAAAACCTACAAAGAGAGGTCCAGAGATCAAGGCATGGGGCGGGGAGAGAGGTGAAAGAGAAGCCCCAGGTCCTGACTCTAAAGACACTTCAGTCGTTTTATTCATTCCTCCTGTCACTAATCAGAAGAGCCCTTTGGGTCCTGGCAGCTTTCTAAGTAGGGGAGTAAGGAGTAAAGACAATGCCCCATCTCAGTGTCTCATAACCTTCATGGCTAGAAATTTTTCAATTCTGTCTTAGCTATTTTTCTCTTATAAAAATGGAAAAAAAGTCTTAGCATAGGATAGGCATTTTGTTAACACTTTGTGAGGTTTTTGTTGTCGGTGGCAATCCCCAATAACATTTCAGGGGCTTAAAGACAATTGAGTCCCACTGCTCCTTCCACTTTCCTTACCCCAATCTGTACATCACTGTACCAGGCTACTGACCAGGTCCCCTGTCTCAAGTCTTCTTGCACCTTCTCTATGCATCCTATCCATGCACTCTATATTAATCGCTAGACATGTCTAACTCGTCATGTCACTTTCCAGATCCAAAGAGCTCTTTCTGGAATTGTGTCTCAGTTCTGCACTAAGCAGTCAAGGCCCTCTTCAAACTGCCCACTCCTAGCCTGTCCCTTACTTCCCCGACACCAATTTTACCTCCATCCAAGTTCTTCTCCTACCTCTCCTCCCAGCCACTCCCCTCATTTGGCTCCCATGTCTTTGTTCATGATATGCCCTCTATCTGGAATCCCCTTCCTTCTCCTCCTCTCCACAAATACAAATCATAGCCATCCTTCAACGCAAGTCCAACCTTCTTCGTGACACTTCCTCTGATGACTCAGGCCCACGATGACAGCACCATGCACCTTTTCTGGATTCCCATTTTACTTCACAGCACATAATGGCACATCTGGCTGATTTTCCTCAGTGTTCTCTAAATGTTCCTCTGGGTAAGTCTCATCTCCTCAACCAGAGTAACAATTCTTTGTGGTGAGGGACTTCATAGTTTTTTAAAAATATCTTTCCTCACCCCAACCGGTCTTAGCACAGTGCTGGCCACACAGTGAGCAGTTACTACTTCTCAGTAAAAGGACTTCTGCTGGTCTACCCTTCAGTGTTCTAAACCCTAAGCTACAGACCCTCAGGACACAATTACAATGTCTTACCTTAGGCTTGACTAATGTTCAGAATAGTGAGAGGATATGTTCATTAGTCCATTCCAGAGTTAAGACTGTTCTAACACTGGCTTTATGCCAACTTACCATGCAGTGCATCGATGAATCCTAGACTTGCCCTTACTGTAGTCATATAAATCATTTCCCTTCTCTCGGCCTCAAAGAAATATAGAGGAAGCAGGTGTGGGACTACTGGTTGCCAGGGTCCCTTCCAGCTCTGGCATTTTGTAGCAATAGGCTATGTGGCCAGGTAAGTGTTCTTGCCGCCTCCAGAAGGTCTGATTAGTCCCATCACCCCAGGCATGTTTTTCCAAGTCAAATGTGCCTCTGTACCTCAGTGCCTTTACAACCCCAACTCCCTTGGGTACCTTTGAGTGGAAGTTAGCCCATGTCCGTAGGTAGGGGCCTGCTGGTGCACATAGCCACTGGGCCGCTGTTGCAGGTGGCGAGTGGGATCTACAAGAGTAGGATTGGTAGAAGGGTGGGTGCTCTGATAAGGCTGGCTGGAGTAGCTGGGGGGCACCATGGTACCTGCGGGGCCTGTGTGTTGCTGCAATCCCACATGAGAAACATAAGGAGTATATCCCTGGACGAAAGGAGGAGAGAGTCAGGACCAAGAGCGTGCAGAGTAACTTGCCTCAAGCTCCCTAATTCTCACCATCTTGTGCCCTTACCTGGGAGGTCTGCAAACCGTAGGAAGAACTAGTAGTCATTTGGTGGACAGATGACTGGCCCAACATCCCCTGACTCTGCTAAAAGGGAAAACGGGGACAAATTTAAACTCAGAAAACACTTTCCGCCATCTCGTTAACTCTATCTCCCACTCTGCATGTCCCCGTGAAGAGCCCAAGTGTCTCCTCAGTCCTGTGACCCTCAAATGCCTCTCCCTGGGGGCCCTCCCTACGGCCCCTCTCACTATCTTTGCCTGGAGCTGTTGGCGAAGGCGCTGTCCTTGGGGCACTGCAGGCTGCTGCTGTCGGTACATGGAGGTCTTGTAAGAGGGTTCCAGTCCCATGACACCACTCATGGTTGTGGGAAGCACTCCAGGGTAAGGTGGTCGGGCAGGCAGCTTCTGCATTGGTAACCGCACAGGGCGGTATGGGTCCACACGAGGGCCACCTGGAAATGGGAGCAGGCTGACCTCTCAAGGCTCCTTGTCCCTCCATCCCCAGCTAGGTGTCCTTGGATGAGGGGCATCATCCCTGAGGCAGGAGGAATCCAGGTAAGTCTCTCATTCCTGGGGTGGCACTAACCTGCAGGTAGTGGCTGGTTCTGGGTGTAGAGGCCTATGGGGCCCTGCCTGTAGCTAACGTGGGTTATGGAACCAGGATTAGTATGGTGCAGGAGGTCTGGAGGCACTGTCACGCCATAGGGGCCACTCCGTCCTGAGCCCATTCCAAAGTCCTATGTGAACGGTAGAAGAGGAAGGTGAGGGGTGGGGGTGAAGTGGGCTAGGAGGGGTGAGGGGGAGCTGGATCTACATGGTTATTATAATTCCAAAGGCACCCCTGCCCCACATGCCCCTGCCCTTCCTACAAACCAGAAACTGGACAGAATCATGGAGACAGGCTGTGGAAGCATCACGGGGACAGCACTAACCTCTGTCTTAGCAGATGGCTGGCTTCGTTTCTTGCCTTTGGTGGACTTCTTCTTGCGTTCCTCAGTACTGGCTGGAGCAGCCCCAGGTTTGTCAGTTTTGGGGGGCTCTGGAGCCTTTTTCTCAGGCTCTAGCAGAGTAGGAGCAGGGGGCTCCTCATCTTCTGGTGGCAGGGGCAGTGGCTCCAGGTAATACGCCCGGGGCCGAGGCCGCAGGTGCGTGTGGTAGAGCAGTAAGCGCTGCTGCTCCTCACCTCGAGCCACTCTCCGATCCACCCGGACTGTTCCGAACCAGCCCCAAGACAGTGGCGCTGACGGCTTCAAGCCCTCAAAAAGATCCCAGGGAGAGAGCTTCTGTTTGGTGGAAACCTGTAGACCCTGCTCCAGAAAATGAGAAACAATGAGTGGCTAAGGCTTGTAAAACAGAAGCCAGACCTTAAGGACTTATAGGAAAGGGGGAAGTATCTTCAGGCAATGAAAGAAAAAAAAGTAATGGGCAGATTCAGGAAAGATGGTCAGATGAAGACAGATGGGTATGGACACACAAACATGCACACGGGAGACAGAGTTAAGT